TCAACTGGACAGCATCAGCACGTGGAGAAAAAGTCAGCAAACTGTGCATTTCTACGGCAGAAACAATCGAAAGTTTTCAAGCAGTACATTTGACAGTCTTTCCGATTAAGGGGCGTGCAAGTTGAAGCAAAAAAAAGTCAAGGAAAAGTAGAACCTTCGTGCGTGTGCTACACGTGAGCAAATACGTGTATACGTTTCACAAGCTTGGCCCATTCACTACAAAACAAACCCTACAAAACTGCAATCTCTAAATGGGACGAAAGTAGCCTTTCATGGTTGTGGACAATTATTGTTCCTACGTATATCGCTCGTAAATGCGCTACGGCAGTGACGCTCCTTTAAGGCGTCGGCCGGCTACTCCAGAGAGCAGAGTCTGCACGCCGGCAGTGTTAAGGGGGAGAATGTGAGCAATCTCTCAGGCACTGTATGAATTGCTGACAAAATATACAGAGGCAACCGACAAGGGAGGCCGAGGAGGCTTTTGGCAGCGATCGCTGATGGGGGGTGACGGGGTGGACGGAGCGGCGACCTAATCAGTGTCAAGTCGGAAAAATTGAAGACGCTGTTTAACTTGGGTCTCGGTGCATGGATCATTTTTCACAGAGAGAGGCGCTGGAAACTTGAGACTCATTAAGCAACTTCTCTTGATTCAAAGCAGCCTCCAGATTCCGTCTTCCATTCCTGCCGCCTGCATTTGTTAGGACATCTGTTAACAGCATAGATGGTTTCTTTCAAGCGAACATTGCAGATGCGCACCCCATCACAACCTGAGCAAATGTCGGAAGACACTAAACATCGAACGACGGACGGCGTACAAAATTAGATACGATGCTGCAACGCGATACGGAAAATACTGGAAAATAAGCACAATTCCATGCACTGAGTGTAGAAATATTTCCAGCGTTGAACACACGGTGGTGAAAACAGTAAACACTCAGCACACGGTGCAAAGCATTTTGCATTGTCCGAACCTGCACGAACGGGCACACCTGAATGTTACCCTCGTTCGAAGGGCAATTAAGAGAAATTAAGTTTACGTGACATAATTATTCAGACCAAATTAAACTGTGTAAACGAACTTCCCAAATGTTAACATTCTGTGAACGGGTATAATTTCGAAAACAAAAGATGTACCATACAGTCTTGAGCGATTTAGTTGTTTTGTGAAAAGTATTATGAAAAAGTTGAGAACGATACCAGTACTATTTAGGCATATGACCAACTCGATTCCACGCCAAAAGAGCTGATGGTGTTAACTTGCTGTGTACAACTAGGTCCTGTATTAAAAGCACGTGTTCAAAATCCATGCACCGGTTTCGCCATGACTCGGGAAAACTGTATTCAACAATTACTTCCCTGAGAGGTACCCTTTTCGGCAATTTTTCTATTTAAGGGGTTTATATTCTCCACAATGCGCACACGAGACCTTGTGATCTCTTCCCCATTACCAGCGACCTCGGCGCGCGACAGCCCCGCTACCCCCCTACCGAACACCGGCAATCCGACGCTCGTCCAGCAGAATTGCGCGGGCGCCGCTGGTACGGCGACCGGCACAAAAAAGGGGGCCGAAATTAAAAAAACGCAGCGGTGAACGCGACGTCGTAGGGTGATCGCCCCCTTTGAAACGCCACCGTCAAGCCGCAAAGAATCAAGCAGGAAAATAATGAGTGCCGAAATTTTGGAACTAACTCTTTGGCGGCGCGGGGCTCGCTACAAACGTTTCCAGTGGGTGGACAGCATGGCTTACAATTTTAAATTCCACTCTGCCGCGGCTGTTTACATGCAGATAATTTGTTTTACGGCACATGTTTTGACCAGTTTAAATGAATTCCAGTCTACGTGCTTTAAAAGTATGGAAACCGACAATGCATGTGTTCTCTGTCATGGAAGGTTGGGCCGACTATTAATATCTGCTCATGAATAAAAGCAACGGAGTAATTGAAGCTATGTGGTATAGTACTAGATTTCCACAGATTTACGGTGGGGTACTAGACTTCAACAGACATAGCTTTCTGCAATGTTACTTTCTATGTTTGTAATTAGCAATGTAACTCATCACCAAACAACCAACCCAACCACCAAGACCACCACTTCACCCCCCCCAAAAGAAAAGAAAAACAGGAAGACAGGTGTTTCTTTTAGGTTAAGCAATGTCAAGTATATTAAGTGTAAACAATCAGAAATGTTTTGTGTCTGAACTAGCGATCATCGGAATCAGGAGGCTCCTGCTTAAATGCACGAAATCAAACAGGCGATATGGTGCTCAACCAAATTGTGAAAGAATTCTCTTGTTCTTTTAAACACGGCCTAAGTGGCCACTTAAACTTTAAGTTGAAAACAGCTAGCAATAATCTGCAACGTAAAAAGTTCCCATACTCTTGTACAGACCAGGTGTACCAAAAAAGCTAAAATTCAGGGTCAACATCTAAACAAAAAAAGCTGAAATCAGCACTAAAGCTAGATTCTCACACCCCTGTTTAAATTACTATATATCACGTGGCCTTTCTGAGGGGTTGTGGAAGGTGATATTCCTTAAGTTCCAACCCCAATATTATTTTGCTTTCTGAGGGACGTTGCACTGGGACTTTGGTTTAAAGTGGTTGCAAACTCTCAGAATTATCGTCCCTCTATACATTTCCAGACACACGGAAGTTTTCCCAAAATACCAAACCCTACACCCTATACGCTTGGCGGCACTTCAGCTAAACGAGGCGCTGGGCAAGCTCTTCCAAAAACGACACCCAACCCGGCTAGAGACAAACCAAAACCCTACATTTCGGTCCGATTCCTTCGGCTGTTTCAGTTGATATTACCGAGTAATATCCCAGGCCAATTTTTTTTGGTTTCGCTTCGCTTTTGAAGCAGCGCCGCGACACAGTGCCGATCGACCCACTCTGACTGGACGACAGTCCGGCGTAAATATGTTGAGAGAGGAATGGTAAGTGGTATTGACGGCTTTTTTGGTAGACTAACCCCCGCGTCTCGGCACGAATATTGGATTCCAATTTCATAAACTGGTGTCAGAAAATAAGCGCGACAGCCAAAAATTTCGGAGCGAAAAGGACCCAATACATTTATATCGGAAGCGCGTGACTTGAAAGAAGCAAATTAAATTTCCTCTCCAACAAAAAGAAGGAAAATTTCTTACAATATGGTTCCATCGGGTCTCAATGAACATAACAGGATCTGCACATATTACGCAAGTTCAAAAACGTTCGCAGAAGGTAAATGTTTCAAACTTTTGCTCCAAATTAGAGGAAAACGTGTTTCATCGGGGGGGGTAACAAATTGGAGATGTCGACACACCAATGTCGCCAGCTGAATCAAGTCTCATTACAAAATAAAAGCAGACTTAAGTCGCGCACGGATCTCTCTCATGTGAGCTGGCCGTAGTACCGAGCAGGAACCGGGAAAAGAGAGATCGGTGTGATTGCTTCGGACTGGCGCACCGCACCGCGCCTGTCCCGCCGGACGGTCGGCCCTTTGGATCATTAGCTCCCCGTGGTGAAAATGTTGCTACTGGCGGCTCGTTATGTCGATTTGAATTAAGTGCCGGCCGAGACGACGGTCGCGGGGACACGCCAAAGCAGAATACATCTACTTCGGTATCGTAATTGCCGCAAGATGGTACCTCTCTCGTTCCTTGAGTAAAAAAGCTTTTATAAAAAGTTCAAAATCCTCAAACCAGCTCGACTGACGCTTGTATGTGGAATCCTTTGAGGTTCATCGTCCTCCCTGGGCTTCTAACCCAAATCTCCGTGCGTAGAACACACAAACACTTAACAGACGCACCCAGGATTTCCCACTCTAGGGAGCCGACACCAAAGACTCGATATCCCATAATGCATGCTCAAAAAGTGCAGACTCCAAGGGTCTGTACTTTCCAAGGGCCATTCTTTCAAATTCCTAGTCAGATATTACGGTGTGGACATTGGGACAGTATTTGGCGTTTTTTCTACAAATTTACCACCCAAAACCCATCGTCAATGACAGCGGGGGAGGGGGGTGTCAAGCTCACACACCCTCGGGTACGCTACTGAGATTGTATCCATTCCCTCATCCTCTTAAATTGACAGTACATACATATTGCATTTCATATATCACACAATTATGATACTGAGCACCAATATAAACTCAAATTCACTATTACTGAACTCTGTTGCACGGCGGTCAATCTTAATGACAAAAGGAAGAGATTAAAAACACCACTTTTTGTCCTAGTGACGTCGACGTTAATTGAGCTTTTTTTCCATGACAACACTCTTACGGTGTACCACTTTGACACGCAATTCACACTTGACGTTTTCCCGGCGATATCTGTTGTGCAAATTACCACGGAAATCCACACACGGCATTACATCGGAAGGGGTCGATGCAGTCCCAAAATACAGTACAAACTGTCATGTACAGCAACCAAACACTACCGGGTCGAGAGAAACCGGCAATGTGTATGCACACTGTGTAAAGTTTGAGCAAGGAATGTTTACAGATGGATAGCTGACCTGGGCCCGACCCGGCCAGTACTGCTCCTCGATCGGCCCCTGCCTCGCCCTGCGCCCACAGATGTTTTGGCTCAGTCTCAAGGTGGGCGCGGGCGGCTCCCGGAGAAAACACGGCACCGCTTGTGGTGTCCCCGGTCGAGCCGCCCAGCCGACGCGGCCCGGCACGGCATCAGACTAGCGGACCAGGGGAATCCGGATGTTATTACTTCCGAGAGAACAAGGAAAATGTGGTTTTCGTTTCCACACCTTCTCACACCTTGAAGATAACAGCGGCATGCCTCAGAGAAGGTGTAGCCAATACCGTCGATGCTTAATGGTCGGAAATGTCAAAATGATGGAAAATACAAAAGTCCATTGCAAACGAACCAATTATTTGGGCATCGAGTTTATTCACCAGTGAAATACACTATACTTTTGAACTTAATATCTATTAATTACTAAACCACACTTCTGAAGTGTTATAAAAAAGGTCCATTCAATTCTAAATGACTGTATGCACGAAAATCTTTCGTCCATTTTTTTCTTGGGGGGGGGATCATTTTTTCTCACATTAAGTCACTATGTCTTCCATAAACGAAACCAAGATCTAATAAAACGCATACTCTACGACTGATTTCATGCTTTCAAGCAGATTCTTCTGTTTTAATGACATTCGTTAATGCACTCATTCCGTCTCAGTTACTCAAAAGTTTACTGCACAAATAATGACATATTACGGAGCTCCAGTTATTCATCGTACGCTTCGACCGCCTTCCTCGAAAAACGTACGCAAGCTTGTTCTCCATCCCCCATAGACCGAATTCTCGTTACGTTACGGAGTCTCTTAAAGGACATTCCACATTGTAAGCATTTACACGACTTATCTCTCGGTTGAAGGCAACATACAATGTACGTGAACATAATTTTGAAAGCTAGCCCAGTGCACAATAAATTCACACGCTGCACGCGTCACACTTCAATTATGCACTGTACTGCTCACAACTGTTTTCGTCAATATGAAGTACATATGTGAAGGAAAATGATCGGTTAATGTTTCAAATATTGATTCTGACCTACCACAAACCACCTTTTAAATCATTCCCAGCAGCCCCGTCGACAAACAGTTCTAAGTATACGTTACAATATACTAAAAAAATCGTCAATAAAAATTGCGTGACTGTAACGGAGTTATACAACACGACAAACTCTGCTTTACTCTGCTCCACCCATTTCCGACACTAGAAATCCAGTTCCCTTAACCAGTTTGAGCAGAGCTATGAAATTCTTTTTACAAGCAGATGTCCTTTTTAAAGTCTTGTTTTGACTGCATTTCCACAACACTTTTCAAAGTTTGTGCCAAAACTTTATCGAAACCACAAAAGTCAAATTATAAAGTCTTCTCCCGATATTCAAATTCCTCATAATTCACACTGAAAATATTTCAAACTATCTCCTCAATCCATTTGTCATAAATGACATGTTTTCTCAATGAGTAATGCATTTATGACCAAAAATGAGGTCAAACGTCCTTGCATTTGAAGCAAATCCTAGACTAAACATTTCCTCGCGTAAACAACTCCAGTTTGCTATACATCAAAGAAACATTTATAATATTTGTCCAAATAAAGCTTCACCTCCCTAAACCAGCAAGACACACGTGCACTGGGTAATTACAGCGGAGGGCCCATTTGGCCCTCTTTATCTTTGAGTCCTACCACACACTTTTTATTTCTCAAAGTAAACAAGTCATTCTCTTTGTATGTACAGGAATCGTTGTGGATTCCACGGACAACTTCAGTGGCACCCAAAGCCACAGACACGCCTACGTGAAGGAGAACATTTTTTTTTTTAAATCATGTGATAAAAAGTAAATTTGAAACAGCTGCAGTTGAGCAAATTTTGTTCTCACTAGAACCATAAGCACACATTCTGTCACTCACGGGCAACACCAAGGAATGAAATTAAACGTGCTGCTAAACAGCGCCTTCCATGTACTCGGTGTATATGACTTTTCTTCAATTCCATTATAAAGTGTGCAGTTGGATGCCTCTAAGAATCCTTGATCATTTGAAAAGGCAACAGACTTCACTGGTAACTTCGAGTTAAAAAGAAAGCCTTTTATTTATGTTTTTTCACAAAAGTAGACTTAATAATCATCAACATGGCTTGTCAAGCATCTGTACCAACAAAAAACAAGACATGAACCAAAAACTATTCCAATTTTTTTGTTCGATTGGACAGATCAATGCAAACATTACTGCACCTAGTTTCAACAGTCCACGATGTCGGTGGAGAAGTCACTTGAAAATTACTTTGTACAAGACTCGAAATTGGCAATTTGTTCACTGTGACTTTCAGTATGAAGCAACTTGTTCATTTAGGGTTGTAGCAAAGTCAGATATTTCAACGTTCATGGCTTCCTTTTTTGTCATCGGAAAGCTGTAATGAACAGCACTAACAGTGGACAATGCACATTCTGAAGACGCCGTATATACACATGCAGATATATCAGACAAAGACGAGCACCTCCATAGTTTTGAACTGTCACTTATTTGTGAGCCTGGTAGGATAGATGTGGAAACTAAACTACATCTCTGGAGTTAAATCTAGAAAGATTTGGTGCCTGCGTGGCAGCCAGTATGGCTGCAGTATAATTAGATCTGATGATTTTTGTCAGTCAGAAATTCAAGGCTAAAAAACTGTTCAGTGGATGAAATACCGAGCATTGGTATGGTTGAAAGGACAGACTTTAAATTTAGAATTACAACGACCTCATACATATATATACATATGTTATGTTCATTACTCAACAAGACATGCATGCAGTGTGATGCTGAGGGGCATTAATTCACGTACAGCTGTGTAAACTGGATGCTTTTTAAATGTCATTTACAGCTTCCCTGTTTTTTCAATTCCTACGATGAATGTTTCAGGCAAAAACTTCCTACCCATGGGAAGTTTTACTTAGTGGAGCAGGTCTGCACAAAAAAGGGAAACAGACAAACGAAACAAATACAAAAAGACCATTAAATTCTACAGCAGGACTGCAGTACCTCAGCCACCTGTGCAACATGTGTGCATGCAGGTTGTGGAACTCGGCATCTTTCACTCATCATGTAAAGCCACAGTGCCAATTATGATCAAACTTTACACCTGCATAGGTACCTGGTGATGTTTCTCTCCACTAGACGTCTCAGTCCAGCTTCTCGGGTCCTGACCCTGTCGAGGAGTCCTCCTCATTGTCACTTTTGTTTTCATCTTCTTCTGCCTGTTGCTGCTGCAGCCACATGTCGGCATACACGCCGTTCTGCTGCAAGAGGTCCTCATGCCTGCAGAGAAGTAAATAATGGTCACCAACTACCACAAAAATCTCGGGGAGGGGAAGGGAACCGATGTAAACTACCTACAGAAGTGTACCCATGGGATTTAAGTTTCTGTGCTCTCATGGCAACTTGTTGCCAGTGGTGTAACTAAATGGGGAGTGGGAGGGGGGTATCCCCTCTCGACGCCCATGCCCCGTGTGCCTCCCCCAAAAAATGGGAGACGGAAAAAATCTGGAGATGGTGCACCTTGTTCAGTGTTTTAAATGTGACCAAACTCAATGCGGCTCCCCCTCCAGAAAATGTGGACGCCCAAGTGACCCCCCTGCAAAATGTACCCTAGTTACGCCACTGCTTACCGCAGCTCCCAACTGTAACATTTCATTACATGGGACTTGATTGCATTCCCACTTGGACTATTATTGCTTTGGTGGTACCATAATTCTCAGTGTGTGGTTGTCCAATGTGCCACAGCACTAACGTCCAAAGTGTATTTTCAAGCAGTAAAAAAAGCTACAGATACCACATTGTCCAATGGTTTTGCTACTCGACCTCAGTTACTTCCCCACTTCCGAAACTGGATTTACTCACAAAACCCACTCGTTTCGTTTTTTTCAGTGCAATGTCAAACTAACAGCTGAGTAACTTCTCCAATTGCACTTAATTTGTAATTCCCCTGCTCTGCCAAGGCAGTTTTACAAACCAATATATTAGGAACATGGCTTAATGAGACAAACACAATGTCAATTTAGGGGTATTTATCACCAACATTGTCTTTGCATCTGTCACCCAGGAATCATTTGTGGGTTTCAACAGTTTGGACTGCAGGAAGTGATGTAGCTTTGCTTTATTTCACAGTCAGATGCTCCTAAATCGAAAACCTTTTAAATATGCTTAATGTCAGTTTTCCAGGGAGTTGTATTCAAATGTCTCATTCATGCATGAGTACTGTTTCTGCACTGGGAAAGTCACTGGGTATATCTCTTGTGCACCGCAAAGACACACCTACCTTCCTCGTTCAATGATCTGCCCCTCTTGCAGAACCAGTATCTGGTCAGCACCGATGATCGTGGACAGCCGATGCGCAACAACGATGGTGGTCCTGTTAGCGCAGACGTTGGCCAGCGAGGACTGGATGTTACGCTCAGTTTTTGTGTCCAGGGCAGAGGTTGCCTGCAAACCGAGTATGCACAATGAGGCAGATCGCGTGAATGTTCGAACTTCTTTCACAAAACAGAAATAATGTGTTAAGATGCACAAATGCCCCTCCAAGCCCATGCCTGAACCCATGACTTTAATTTGTAATCACATTAACGGTCATATAAAGCAGAATCATTTTTATCGTGTTAACAGTAATAACCTTGAACTTTGACCTATTGAGTCCACAATTCATTACCTTCTGCAGGACAGTAAGATCAATCCATATATCAACTTTGAAATTCATATGTGCAGTCTTTCTTGAGCTATGATAGAAAAACCAGTTCTGCTGTTTTAACCTGTGACCTTTGACCTTTGGTCTACTGGGCCCAAATCCTTCAGCTTCTGAAGACCATCACGACATATTTCCCAAATTACTGTGGGAAAGCTCATGTACATAGATCTACGGACACACACATAATCAAAAGCCAACATACTCACACTACAACATCAAGGCCGTTTTCCAATACTCAACTTCGGCTCTGTCTCAGGCTTCAACTGTTTTTTTACTACCTGACCTTGAAGCTGCAAGTGCACTAATTAGTCTAATAGTGCCACAAAACATCAAATAAGATGCAAGAGAGCAAAAACTTACAGTAATCCAATTTGATTTAAACGCTTCAGGCTGACAATCGGGGATTGGTTTAGAGGACAAAGCCTGAGACGAAGTTGAGTATTGGAAAACGGCCCTAGTTTCTCCAGTCCAATCTCTAAAGTACCATATTATCTTTCTGTATACATATATACTTTTGACCACCTTAGAAAAGAAATTGACTTCAAGACAACTACATGTATACAAAAACACCAAACCTTTCCAATGAATACCACACTGAACTTATAGTAGGTACCTTTTAAACAGTACAACTGACACGGACTTAGCACAAACTGTACACAAACACTCAAAGATGCATTTCTGGCAAAAGCTCACGAGATGACATTATTGTAAGTATAAATTTTTACTCTGCTTGTCTGCCAAGTCTGCTTCACTGACCAGCGAGACTGTGTTCATCAACGTGATGTTAAATGAATCCGATTCAGTTTACAAGTCAGCATTTGATGTAGCATGGAGCTTCCAAGTAGGAAATACTGCTTAGTGTCTTAAGTGTGCTGAGAAAAATCGATGGAGAACCAGCAGCAAGCTAATGCACCTGGCATGGCTTTTGCCTCGCAAATCTGCGAAGCAAATTTGGGCCTCTTTTTAGCCAATTTTGACAGAGCATTGGTTGCTGGCAGTACACATGGCACGGAATTTCGTGCAGTTATCCGATTTACAAATCTGCTTAGCGAGTCTGTGCTCCATAAGCCAAAAGCACAACAGAGCATCAGTCACTGGCAATGCACACCGCATGGCATACTAGCCGATGATCTATTTAGCATATACATCTGCTAATCAAGTCTATGTCCTAAACAAAAATCAGCGCAACACCAATCACGAACAGTACAAATCGCATGACACTTGTTGCTGCTCAGCAAATACTCCCTCAGCTTGACAAATTTCTGTGGATAGTTCCTCCATGAAATTGGCCTGGGCCCCTACTCATACTCACCTCATCAAGCAGCACAACCTCAGGAGCTTTCAGGATAGTCCTGGCAATGGCCACCCGTTGCTTCTCCCCTCCGCTCAACTTCAGTCCTCTCTCTCCGACCACCGTCTTGTATTCTGTTTAAAAGCCCCCCCCCAAAAAAAATCAATCTCTTCATCCAAGAAACAATAAGGTAATAAATCATTCTCTCTACAGTTTAAACATGACAGTCCTGAGCATGGACCTCAGCATCAGACAAGCAGTAGCACAGTTGAGTGTTGATGTTGACTGTACCGATATTTTTCATCGTTAACAAACAGTGCATTCATAAATTTGTCAGCTGAATGTTTTTGACCTCTGGCATTGCCTACTTGAAATTACTTCAAGATAATTGCCTGCACTACAAGCAGTACAATAAGCCTTTCACTTTCCACATTACAAAATGACTCAGCTATGAGTTCATTTGCAGGATATAGATATCACCGATTTTCACACGTCAGCATTCCACACTGACAATTAGAACTGGGCAGTTTTGCAAAGTATTTCCCCCACCATCAGCTTGTACTAGTTGCATCTGTGGAAGCTTGTAACTAGTTTAAAATGTGAGGTTGAAATATTACATCTTGGGAAACTTCACGAACAAACATTCTTAACTTTTTAGTGGTTTTTTTTTAACATGAAAAAAGTATGTTTTATTTTAGCAGGCTATTCTAGTACAAAAAACATTCCATCTAAATGTGGAAACACGCTAAATTCTCCAAGCGGCAAATAGTTTAAAACAAGATGAATCGAAAACTGTTACTCTGCTTCCAATATTTCATAGCCAGGTTATGGCATAAAAATAATGTGCATGGCTTGTGCCGCAGCTCATCAGTGAGGTGCAACGCTGGCCCTTCCAAGGCATAAATTTCCAGCCGCTCAAAAGAACATTCTGATTAACGACATTCCAACAACTTTGACAGTGCCAAGTGACACGTGCCACATTTGAATGAGAGCCGACACCGAGATATCGCCCATCCACTCCAGTTTATTTACAAATATTGGCTGAGCCGCAGGTCGGGGCTGGCACTGCATGTGCACAGTTAGCCCAGATTTTAGCCATGCATCTAGGACAGCGGGAAGGGAGAGAGCCCCACTAAAATTCCCACTTACGGCTGGGGAAAGAGAGGATCCGGGCATGGATGTCGGCTGCCTCTGCTGCTGCTGTGACCTCTTCCTCACTGCTGCCTACTTTCCCGTAGCGGATGTTGTACCTAAGTGGGAAACCAAATGCCAAGACACAGATGCAGATGTAGGCAGTGAGCCCCATAGATCAATGAACTCAGCCCGTTCAAGTTAAGTGCACTTGACATAAATATTGATATATGGGATTTCAGGAGACCTGCTTCCTAAGGTCTGAGGGCAGAACATATCTAGAACTTGACTTCTTCCCTAGTTTCCAAATGGAATATTTTGAACAAAATTTTAGGGCAGAGTATGAGCAAAGTACTATAATTCCAAATTTAAGTAAGCACAATGAAGTCACAGCATCATCATATTTACTATCTTTCAACGTTAATGCAAGCAATCTGATAACAAAATCTACTCTCCATTCTCTCACATTATGAACTTTCAATCACCTCTCAACTCCCCACTTCTCACACCATCAAGTGCAATCTTTGCACTCCAATGATAGATTTTGAGAAAAATTTAATTTACACGTGAAGTAATCCATTCTAAGGGCATCTCCAAAATAACATTGACTCTTCTGTAGGTGTTGTCCCGTATACCGGTATATTTCATACTTCTGTCTATAAATGAGCACTTTTTACAGTCCATTCAAAAAAGACTGTGTTACACAAACTCAAAACTGTTGGTGGCTCTTCCACAGTTAACGAGAAATTTTGCAACAAATTCAGTTTCTGGAAATAACTATGAATCGGTTAAACAAGAAAGATAACTTTCTGAAAGCTTTTACCTGATGTCGTTATTGAATAGCACAGTGTCTTGTGGCACAACACCGACGACTTTTCGCAAGGAATGCTGGCTCACCTAGAGTTGGGGAAAAAGAATCCTGTGTGAGGTTTCTGCACTATAAAACTTCATTTAAGAAAATAACCTCTGAAAATGTGCTCTTTTATTGCTAACACTACACTATAAAATCGTCCATTGTAATTTCCTTAAATTTTTAATAGTTGGATGTGTCTAAATTTAGTTCAATTTGCTATTTAGTAGAAGAAAGGCATGAAGGAAGCTTTCATCTGGTATACAATGACACTTTGTTATGAGTACGTCCTTCTGTCTATTAAGGTAGGAAAGTCTAAACAGAGAACAAATCTAAAAGAAAATCTCATCAATTTCACTTAATCAGCATTCTCCAAGCATTATTTAAATTTAAATTTCTTTGTGTAACATTCAAAGCTACATTTCTAAACAGCCAAAAATTGTTAGAAAAAAAATCCAAATTTGGCTGAATTTTTCACTCCCTTCCAAATAAAAGAATCCCAACAAAGACATGCGAAGCACTTGCAATGCTACTGATTAAAAGCACACTGCTTGGAATGGAGGAATAAGGGGATTTGGGAGTTTCCCCATAGAAGTAAGACTAAGTTCATCTGTTAAAGACTGCTCATCCCACAATTCGACCTTGAAATGCAGCCCCTCTGGTCAAGACTGACAAAGACCTTTCCCTGCTTACGGTTTTAATGTCTTGACCATCAATCCTGATTTGGCCATCATGGATGTCATAGAAACGGAATAAGAGACGGATGATAGTACTCTTCCCAGCACCAGAGGGTCCCACCTGTGAACAGATGAACCACAAAATCAAAGCACTGAATCAAGCTGCACATCCTGGAGGCTTGTTTTAACCCCAACTCTCTCGAGGTTTCGTTCTAACAATCTGCAAAATTAAAGAAATCTGATGACCCTTTCAGTTTCAGAGCACAGAACATAACATAAATCATAAACTGGAGGATGTTGTTGAACCTAACCACTCAAGATCATTTAAAATCTACCAGGGCATCCTCTCAGAATTTTGTTGGAAAAAGAGAGAATCTAAAGGATGCAACCTAGGTAGGTTCATGTATGTCAAGCTTGCTGACCCTTAAAAGTTAAAACACACACTTTCTGCAGAAGACTTTGTAGAATTTACACAGGATCTTTGCAAAAACAGCAACAGAGATAGCATTTACGATCAAACAACTTGTGGCATTTGAAGCATTGCATCCTACCTGCCCTTGAACTGTTTCCTAGCATTCACAGATGAACAGGGGCAACCCCAAATACCGTAAACATTTATGCCACTCTTAAAATCTCTTGTAATATGCACAAATGACATGTATTTACACACCAGAAAACCTTACCACTCTGTTGAGGCAATCATGATATATCGGGCCAATCATAAATTCCTATAAACCTTCTGACTGTACATGTATATGGCAGTGTCTGTTATCAAATGAGCAGCAACTTAGGTCTTTGTGGCATACTTACAAGAGCTACCGTTTGGCCAGACTGCACAGAGAAAGATACTCCCTTCAGAATGGGTTTTCTGAGAATGAAGAATGAATCAAGGAATTAAAGTTCATAGTCCTGGCGTTCAATGGTCCCATGTCCTGATGACATTTCACTTTGTTTTTTTGGCACTTTCCTATCAGTGCCAGGTGGGAACAACAGATTCAAAGCTCCATGGGAATAAAGCGTGCCCAAGGACAATGTTAGTGTTATGCAATTGGAAGGCAGCGACTCATGCTTTCCTCGTTTTGTTCACCAGTTAAAATGCATACATGTAGAACAGCATTTTGCCGACAAACCTTTCCAGTCACACACAATAAAAGCTGGAGCATGGGGTTTATTTTCCTGTGGTAGCAGTCTGGAAGACAAGCAAACTGCACAGATCAACAACGACAGATCTTGTGCACAAAACCTTAGAAGGAAAACCACTTAGCATAAACTGATATACAGTACAATGCCGCCATAACGAGCGTGACCTGCTCTGCAAAAAACGGTATCAAGTCACGCAATGCCAAAATACGTAATGGCCTGTTCTATTTGGAGAGGGCAGAATTTCTTCGAAAATGTGATTTTCTTTTTGTTTCTTTAATAGCTTCTATAATATTTATATTTTAAGAATTTGTGACCTCAAACATGGATACTGATGGATAAGGATGAAAAATCGATCATTCAGTAGGAAATCCTGTAGAGCATTGTGTTTCCAAGCGCTACACTTTATTAGCGTTTTCTCAAAAAGTGCTTTTATTGAATCTGAAAATGTGGATATACAGATGTCTATGTATCTCCGCAACGCAGTGCACTACAGGGGTCATTCCTATATCAAATTGTAGCTTTTGACGTACAGAATCCAGCCATATCAAAACCTCAGTGAATCTGGCGACTTAGTACCCATTTTTATAGAGCCGGTCACAAATGATTGGTACAGCGGTTGTTTGGTATCACCACGAGTTAAATAGTGCACCCCAGGGGTGTGATCAGAGGAAATTGAAAAATCCACAAAATAATCACCAGAGGTTTTGAGGGCCCCTCAGAAGCGTGAAGTCTATGGTGTACCTTTCTGTTTGCCTATAGGCACCCCTTAATTCTTTTCTACATTAAAACAATGTACACGGCTAACTCAGGTTAACCACTTATAAATTTATAAAATTCCCTTGAATTACACGCTGCCGGGCGCTTTTTAATGATTTTGATTTTGACATTCATATTCACCATACTTTCATAGGAAAAAATCACCCACTGCCATGTAATGGGACTCAGAAGGCAATGAAGCGTGGCTGAGCGCTTAAAAAAAATGCCTTTGTTATGTTTGTTATGGTGTTACATGATGGCTTCTTTATTCGTCCTCAGCCCTGCCAGGAACGACAAACACTGGGCGGGCTGGGCAACACGTTCGTCGGCCAGGCTGGCCTCGAACGCTGCGGTACTTCAAGCCATTGTACTTCACAATAGGAGGAATACAGCCTACGGTGACTCATAGCAGTCAGTCCGGTCCCCACATAAGGCCGCCCGGCTGTGTGGAGCAGAAAAGTGTGGCCCATATGGGGTCAACCGGCGCTAAGTGGAATCCTGAAATCATGAAAAAAATCCTGACAAACCTCAGCTCTAGCACCCTCACCGACAAAGAAGAGACAGGCTAGTGGAAAGTTTCTAAACCAGGCTTGTGCGCGCATGCTGGCACATATGTGGTAACTGTACATTCCAGATATTGGTCACAAGTGCTCAGCACATCCTGTGTCAAACGCACACAAACCTCCACGCGCAGCAGTAAGTTCCCACCAAAGGACCATCTTTGCTGTGTGAGAACGCGCCCTCTCTTGTTCAAGCTTGCAGTGGATGGCGATGATTAGGTCACAAGTTTAAGTTGTAACGTAATGCAAACAAGATATTCCAAATGAGGCGCAGTGCGTGTACCCACGTACAACACTGACTCCATCGTGTCTACGGTTGGCTGTTGTTCCTTCACGGGTAAGTTTTTTTGAGCTTTAAGATCAACACAATTACTTCAAATCCATTTCTTTCATTTGAAAGCAAATTTTCAAATGTTTCATAAAAGTGTGCAGGAAATTTGGGAGCCAAGGGGAATGTTTTGGTGTTCCCAATTGTTCAGCACAACCGTGTTTGCAATTATATTAGTCATAGCTCATTACCAATATTAAGATTTTTGGGACTATTTCTGGCTGGTAAAGGAAAAGATGCATTTGCTGCTTTTGTCTCTGGGCATTAACAGAAGAGGGCGCTGTATCACTCAATAATGTGTAGACAGCACAATAAACTATCTGTGACCAGCTCTAGAAAAATGGGTAATAATTTGCCAGAAGTTATGAGTTTTTGATATGGCTGGATACTGTACGTCAAACCCTATAATTTGATATATGAATGGCCCTGTAGTGCACTGTGTACTGGAGATACATAGACATCTGTATATCCACATGTTCGGATTGAATAAAAGCACTTTTTGAGAAAAAGCTCATAAAGTGAGGCGCTTGGAAACACAATGCTTTATAGGATTTCTTACTGAATGATCAATTTTTTGTCTTTATTCACCAGTATCCATGTTTGTAGTCGACAAATTCTGAAAATATAAATATTATAGAAGTATTAAAGGAAAAACTCAAACCCACGACCTTCCGCTCACTAGTGCAGACATCTTAACCACTCAACCACCGAGTTTGCTGTTGTCGGCTGGCTGGTTAGAGTCAGATGTGGCAGCAGGTACCGCAAACAGCAATTTCCAAGGATGGATTTGTGCCGGGGGAGATCAATTAATTTCGGACATGTCGGGCAGGCCAAAAAAAAAGAAAAATCAAAAATTAATTGATCTCCCCCTAGGTGCAAATCCATCCTTGGAAACGTTTCAATTTCTAATGGCATACGTGGAGAAAATGAGAGAGCAAGTAAACTGGTTGATCCCAAGAAAAGCTGCATCTCTCTAAAACAGACAAACAGGTGCTCACTCTTCATTGTAGTAGAAACTGACGTTGTCAAATTCCACCATTCCTCTCTTGACCTCCAGATCCTTGGCATTAGGAATGTCTGCCACCTGAGACACATTGGATAAAAAAAAGGCAGGACCCACATTGACATACACAGGCGTGTGCTATCTATAAACATTTGTAGAAACTTTTTCACCACCACGTACAACGGAAAACCATACTTTGGGTATATGTATAAGAGGATTGGAAGGACTTTACAGGACTGAAAAATGAGGAGATCAGCCTCTCTACTTTCCACGTTTACTGCCCATTGAGAGTTTAAGGACTACTACGTCATCCATTTCTCATACAATGATGATGGAGTTAGAGATTAGTTCGTAATAAAAAAAAGACATGCGACCACTAAAACCTAGATTTCGCATTCATGATCCAAATACATGATGCAACTTACATCTTGCTTTTCCTTCATGAGATCAATCATGTTTTCCATGTCAATGAATGCTTGCTGGATCATCCTGACCAAATTCAATTAAAAGTGAGAAATATTATGTCTGTTCGCACTGGTTACTGTTACATCGCAATCACACCATTTATGCATGTAATTACAGTGAAACAGCCATTACAATTAAGGCAAATTTTGCTTGAAGTAACGACTGGACTATTTGACAACACCTTGCGAAATGCACAGTCTGCTACATTTCATACACATTCTGATGCTACTGATGTCATGCTTGACTGCATGGCATTTCCATGAGATGTGAATCCATGAGCGCATCTCTCATGCCAAAGAAGGAACAGGTTTGTGCTCATTCAACGGAAAATGAGCAGCTCATTCACTGCACAAACTAGTATGCCCTCCTAATTCATTATGACTGAGGACTGTGGCAAGCAGAAACCACATGCATAAATGTCCTCAGAAGAAAGTTTTTCGTTGAAAATAGTCGTTGCACATACGATGTAAGTGTGTGGGACACTCTCAGGTGTATGTGGGACAGTCTTATATTTAAGTCTATTTTTCAAATGTATTAAGGGACAGCAATGTACGGTATGACTATGTGAGAATGCAATGTGTCCTCCTTTGGCTCACAAGAGACAGCCACTACAACTTGTCATACTTGTCAGCAACCAACTTTTTACATCTTTACAAACTGACAAAATCTTCCACTATGACATTTTACATACATTTCAAAGACACATTTAGTACCTGTAATAGGTTCCAAAGTAGTTGAGTGGTCCATACAGCTGGATTATGTATGAAGCAAATAGAACGTAGTCACCAACCTGTCCCGGCATTGTGAAGATGGAAAGACGTTAACCAATAAGAAAACATTTATCACAGTAACTACTTCTCAGACAATTTTGCGTCATCGATACTGATTACTTGAGCTCACAGTAAGGTTATCCTGTCACAGTCAAAGACAGATGTTGCTGGTACAGATATTATTTGTATGTGGGGCATCTCATGCCTGGTTATGTACAAATTTGATCTAACTATTAACACAGTACTTCACAATCCTGACATACAACATTTGACTAAATAAGTGCCACTGTCATCACCATGCGTGACATGACAATGAGACAAACTACCAACTACTGCCCTTGACTGAATATGTTGTACAGGATGGATAGACCATCGGGTTCACATCTTCTGACCAATCACAAAGCCTTTTTCTGGCAGGCTGCAAAGGATCATGGGTGTTTCCATGGCAAGGCATGTTTTCATAAAGCATTGGAGGGCATAGAACAAAAAAGCACCAATCGAAATGTTCCATTTGCAAAAATGTGATTGAGAGATTCATCCTTGTCTACTCAAGATATGCGGTATTAAAGTTAACAAAAGTTGTCACATTTTTGCTCTTACTAAATGAATACTACGCAAACAAACTGCGTGGCTACTTATGCCATTTAACCACTTGCCGCCCAGGATTCCGTTTTCGGGCACAGTGTGTTTTTACGCGTGGCTGGGGTCTCTGAAATCGGACAAAGATAACTGGGCCTTGTAACAAAAGACCGTACTTGGAACAAAAGACCAGGCTGCTGGGAATTATGGAGATTTTTTCACTCTCAATAGTGGAAATAATCCAATGTTGTTTTGAAACAGTATACCATGGTTTGGGGCATTTAGTGCGAGTGGATTACCACCGGAGACAAAAGCGCTCCACCAATGCAGCGATGAGCCACACAGCACCGCTGCACGCTAATCTGGCCCCTACTGAAAAGAGGTCAGGAGCGCACTGTGCCAGGTTCGTGAACAAAAGAAAGTTACATAAGACCGCACAATCTGGGCTCTTTTTACAAAGCTGCAGGCCTGGCTGAAATATTCGGGTGTCAATAGATTTTGTCTGTCAGACTAGAGTGGCCATCAGGGAGTATTCATGTGGGTGTAAACGTTGAAATGATGAATTTTTGAAGAAGTCTGAAAACTGAAAATCTTGAAAAAGTCCTGATTATCTGCACTGTATTTTTCAAACAACCCAGTAGCAAGTGGTTAAAGGTATGTGAGGATGAACAAGCAGGCACAAGCATGGAAATTTGGATAAAAATGGGGCTCAATTTGCTGCCAGACCAAAACACACACCCAAAACCATGAACAAGAATGCGCTACGTCTAACCTAATGGCCTTTCCTAACATGGCAATGCACCTGAATCAAGTATTGTCAAGGAGAGGCTTTTTTGTAGTACATTAAGGAATGAATAGTCAACAAAGTCTGATTTGTTAACTGCGTTGTGCGCAGGAAACTTCAATATCTCAGAATGTTTGTTTACCTTGGTTGAAAATTCAAAATTGCTTATTGTGAATGGGTGGTTAGCAGTGTTCTAGCTGGGACCATTTCAGTGGCAGGTAAATATTTGGATTGCAGAGTGTAGTGAGCGCAGTTCTCAACGCTTTCTGATGCTTGAAATACGATCGAATTGGTACACTTAATCAGAGATGCCAAAATTTCAAAATGAAAAAGTGTAATCCTATCGCACTTCCAGTTCCGGTTTCCCGACTGACCCTAAATTTTCGCCGCGGCCCTGAGACTTTTCATCAGCAAATTAGAAAAAAAAGTCAAAAAAAATTCTGTCGTCTTTTCTTTCAAAAGAAACACCTGTTAACAACTTCTTGTCACGCCACTTGTATTAACACTTGTATTTACCTGACTAGCATTGTGCAAGTGTGAATTGTAATTAATTGTTGATTATATTTCCACATTAATTCTGGTAAGTTTTTATTTAATCACTTTAGGGGCAATTTTTGGCAAGTTTCGTCTGATTCAATCAACCCCCCCAAAATGTCAAAAAATCATTACCTACTGACCCTATTTAAATGGAAGCAGTACTATTTTTTCTTGGCCTAACTATAAATGTGCTTCTAGTTCTCGGTGTTGTAAGATCCAGCATGGGCAATGTTGTGTTACAGTTACATGCGTTGCAAACACGTACCCTTCTCCACAACAAGATTTTGCAATGGCCCGTTTGAATTTGTCCCTGAACTTCAGCTCACTTGTTGCCAAGGTGCTAAACAAGTCAGTTGCTCACCAAATATCCAAGAATTAAATCCTCGACAGCCCTCCACTGCGAAAATCAACTTTAGCATAATCATGATGTTCGCCACACGTGTGTACATGTACAGTGTACATGTACAAATCATATGGACGTACACAATCACATTGTGATCGTGCCTATTCACCCCCAGTGCTTCATAGCGTTAATCGGGGCGAATGGATGATTTAACCACACTGGTTTCTATTACTACTCACACAGCGTGTATGCACCAAGTGCGGGAAGCCAGCAACACATTTCTGACGCGCGCATTACAAGGCCGGCTCCGTGCTACCGGTAGCTTACGTAGAGTTTATACACAACTATATGGTTTTGTACCTTCAAGTTTGAAGTCGAAAAAAGTCTGAGTCTGGATCGTACAGTCGTAAACAAACTAAACAAATCGTAAAAATTACGCCTAAATCATACAAAGTGGCATCTCAGCAGTTTCAGTAATATTTCAGTTCATTTTTTTGAAAATCCAAATTGAACCCCAAATGCTGGGCTAAAATTTGCAGTACCGGGGGTGCCACCCAGCACTGCCCACCGTGGCTAGAACACTGTTGGTTAGGTAGTCAAAATAATGGTTTGGTGTGATGCAAGGGACAAGTCAATCAAATATCCCCAAGTTATATCCCAAAGTGTGCTCTATCGCGGCAGCATGTCGACAGTAAACTTGAGAAGTGGCCCTTCTGTGGCAAACTCTTGGTGGCGCACTGTATTGTGAATCGCCAGGATTAGACTGGACTCGTGTTTTACAATCACCACACTTTTACGCTTACCGTGAGTTTGGACACACTGACGTAGTAGGCACAAAGCAAAGATCCGACAACAAGGCCCAATGAGATGATGACATTTTGGCCAGAGTTCAGGAGAACAAGGCTTGAGATAGACTTCCATTCACTGCGTTGGTAGGATGTGATGGCTTCATCATATACACCTACCTCAAAGTCCTCATTTCCATAATACTTGACCTACAATACAGATTAAGAAACAGTAAACTAATAACTTCCACCAACAGAAAAGGATATTCTGTAATAATGAAATGTAACCTTGGGTATCCTTTCAGTTAACCAACTGTTAGGATATTCTGTAAGTTAATCAACAGCACAGGTATTCCACAGTTACATGTAATCACCTCTTAGGGAATTGTGTAAAAAGATAAACCACTTGTAAGTATATTTCATTTATAGTTAATATACTGTAAAGATATTCTGTAAGTTGCTGTATTCTATAAGTTTATCAGCTATGCTCAAGGCAATATACCCTGTATGTTTTGACAATTTTAATAATGACTTGAAGATTATATCTCAAAAATCTTTGAGTTATCAGTTGCAAAATTGGAAAATTTAAAGGTAAGGGCCCAATAGTTTCTGGGAATAAAGCAATTGTTATAAACCACTTCCTGCCAGGGACTCCGGAATCGGAGACGTATGGTTTATATGCGTGGCTGGGGTCTCCGAACTCGGACAAAGGAAACAGGGCCCTGTAACAAAAGACCGTACTCTGAATAAAAGACCAGACTGCTGGGCATTACCGACATTTTTCACTCTCAAAAGTGGTGATAATCCAGCCTTGTTTTGAAACCGTATACCAGGGTTTGGGGCATTGAGGGTGAGCGGATTACCACCAGGGACAAAAGCACTCCACCGAGGCAGCGATGAGCCACACAGCACCGCTGCACGCTAATCTATTGAGAGGAGGTCAGCAGTGCACTGAGCCAGGTTCGTGAAAAAAACACAGTTATACAACACCGCACAATCTGGGCTCTGTTTACAAGGCTGCAGTCCTGGCTGAAATACTGGGGCATCAATGAAGGTCACCTGTCAACCTAAAGATTACTTGGTGCGGCTATAAA